CCTTGGATTTGTTTTAAAATACTTCCGCCAAATAAGTGATCAGGCAGAACAGATGAAACAGGATGATCAAAATATTGACAGTTATTAAAGTTCAGTAACAGATACACAGCATGGGGCTAAAGTTCTTTGTATGGAAAGTAATGCAATGATTAATAAATAATAATGCAAGAATAAACTTTGTTTTGCATACTCACAACTGTATACCTACTTTTGCCCCATGCTGTATTGAAGCTTAATAAACATCTCCCAAAATGGTTATGAATATTTGAAATAAGCCAGAAGCAACTTGATAAACAGTAATCTGGCAATAGCCCAGCTTCTCGATGTGCTTTCTCCTGCCACGGGGCCTGTCGGGCAGTAATAGGAAAGGATGGGACAGGAATAATGATTCTCACCTAGAACACAAACAAGATCAGAGCTCTTATCTGGACACCATGAATTCATAAGGTATTCATAGATGGGTTTCCAAATGGTCTGAACTCTCTGTATGTGTATACCAAACTTTTATTTGACTTTTTGCGGGGGAGGTATTACAAAGGTTTCTCCAGATCCTCAAAGGCATTCATGACACACAAAATTTGAGTGAGACTAGATTATAGGAGTTCTGAAGTCTATTTCAGCTCTAAAATTCTATATACCCATATGTCTAAGAACAAGAAATTTAATTGCCCTATTTTAAGAACTCCCTGCACAGTGGGAAAGTCTCTAGATTTCATGAACTCTGCATTCTAATGTATTTAAATTCTTAGGATATGAGAATGTTTAAGAGCCATCAGACACATGTTTTAAAAAGTCACATTTAGATCTTAGACTGGTATAGCCATTAACACAATGGCCAAATACATCAAGGCAATTTTCTGTCTTTTAGATGCCTTTCAATGTCATCCTGGAGTCTCTGCAGTGAAATCTCACTATCAAAAGGCCTTCTTCAGAATAGAAAGAGACTCACAGATAGAGAACATTGTGATGGTTGCCGGATGGGAGGAGGGTTGAAGGTTGGGTGAAAAGGGTGAAGGGATTAGGAAGTACTACACAATTTCGTTACAGAATTTTCATGAGAATGTAAAGGACAGCACAGGGAATATAGTCAATAATATTATAATAACTATGTGTGGTGTCAGATGGGTACGAGATTTATCAGGATGATCACTTAGTAAGTTTTATAATGTCTAATCACTCGGGTATACATCTGAAACTAATATAATATTGTATGTCAACTGTAATTGAAAAATTAAAAACGATTTTAAAAAACTTAAAAAAAAAAAGTACTGCTTCAAAAGGAAAAGAACCCTTAAGAAGTAGGAAGTATTACAGCAATGTAAAAAATCCCCAGCTATATACAAGGGAGCAAGGTAATAGCTTTAAGTGCCAGCATCTGATTGTCTGTAAAGAAAGAAACATGCTAGCAAGAACCCACCATTTCCCTAAGCTGGAAACATAGATCGTGTATTTGCCAGCATCTCAATGCAGTTCTGTTGCGCCATTACAATTTACTGCTATCCTACCTTTGTTATGAGTAAAATAATTTTGCAGACAATCTGAAATATTCTTTGTCATGCCTTTATAATTAAGCCCAGAGCAATGCAATCAGTAGCACAAGCCTGGTTTAATTCAATCACATGGCCTAACTCTCCATCACCCAGTGTTGTTAAGAGTTGAGGACCTTGGTTCACAGAACGCTTAGTATCCTAGCCATTATTTCCTAGTTTCTTCTTCCGTTGGTCAAGTCTGGTGATGAGCCACAGCATGGCAAATGTGTGGGAGTCAGTGTGTGTTTGTTGTGTGTGTGTGTGTGTGTGTGTGTGTTTGTAAGTGTGTGTGCATATGGGAAGTGAGTAATTAGGGCTATCTTTAATGTTAAAACTTTGTGTTAGCTCTTGCTGCAACACGGTTGCATAAGTCACCCTAAAACTCAGTGGCCTATTATGCCAAGCACTTATTTGAACTCTCAGTGTTGTACCCATCTCTAACAAACTAGCGTTTGTCCGTCCTTGGCTACAAGGCCCTGATTCACAAATTTTTCTGGATGGGGCGGGTCTTGCCTCTAGGCACCAGGCAAGGTTTAGATCAGTTCGATGTGCCATGATTCTGGGCCCAGGGTGAAGGCACATGCACTTCTCCCAGTGGATGGCCAGAGCCTCTGATGCTCACATCGCATACTCTCGCATCACATTGCCTGAACCAAGTCACCTGGCCAAGCCTATTCCACCACAGCGGGGAGGGGAAGAGTACAGATTTGCTGGAAGATAATCTAATTTATCCAAGACCTTTTCCTTACAGTATTATACAAGAGTGTTGTTAATTTTTCTTACCTAATTTATCAGTAATTTCTGATTTAAAGTTAGATTTATAAGTGACTCACATGTACAAAACCAACATCCAATAACTAAAGCTCCCAGATCTAGTGTGGGTCACCTGTATTCGATTTCCTAATATAAATTTCTTCAGCCCGTTCAAAATATCCCTCATCTCACCCCTGTCTGTTTTTACAAAGATTCCCTTAGCCACACTTCTTTCATTCTTTACTTCCAGCAGGTTTTAGTTGGCTCTTTAAAATGCACCAAGTGCTTTTGTGCCTCAGGGACTTCGCACAGACTGCCCCTTCTGCTCTACCCATCATCCTTTTCATCGCAGATGTCTACTTCTCCCCCATCTCAACTTAACTGTTACTCCCACAATGACCTTCACTGACCACCTAGTTTAATATAGCTCCCATTACGCTCAGAGCACTCTACCCCTTTTTTCATATCCCATCATAATTCCTATTTATATAATTCTGTATATAATCCCATCCACCATTCACATTAGACCAAAAGTGTCCTTGATATAGAAATGACATCTTTGTTCTCCTTTGCGCTGGGAGCACCCAGCCTGGTATTCAAAGAGATGGTGGGATGCATGAGTGAAAATAATTAGAACGCTGGAGGGGGAATTTTCTCTTTTTAAATGTACTGAGTTTGTAAATTTGGAGATACACAGACAGATAAGCATGACTTTGAGCCCCAGCTCTAGTGGCTAACTAGGCCCCGCCCTTCCCCAAGTGGCCTCACTTTCCTGTGGTCCCCGCCGCTGCACTCCCTCTCTCTGACCGCCAGTTTGAGGAGTAGTGAGATAGCAGATGCAAAGTTCCTGGCCCAGTGCCGTCACTTTCAGGAACCAGGATGGATGCTCTCTTTCTCCCCCCCCAGAGTATAGGGCCAGTTGCACTTACATACTGAATCATCAACATTGTAGATCCCTTGTCACACTCTTTGACTCTTAGGCCAAAGAGTGCACTTCGTTGCTATAGTAAAGTAATTTGATGAGTGGAATGTGGAACTAATGATCATGTGAAACACCATTTCTATGGGAAAATGAATTTGGAATTCAAAACAACTGGCTGATTAAGGACTTCTGGAATATACTACATAAATGAAGGCTTCTATTCCTGGGGTTCCCTTTATTGACAATAATGAGGGAATTCCATGCCCCCGCCCCAGATACATAGCACTCTCCCAAGTTCATCATGTAGATGGGTAGTATTTTTATCCAAGTTCCTAACTGGAGCAGGGGGGCAGGAAGTCGGGAGCTCTGAAAACCCCGAATGCGTTTTCTAAAGGAATGACAAATAACCAGCTCCACTTTCCCAGAAGAGCCCTATTTTGTACAGCCTGGGCCTAAAGAACAACTCTACTTGTACTAGCCCCACGAAAGAATCTTACCACCTAACTGATGATCTGAATCACTCATAAGATGAGAACCATCGTATCCTCAACATGACAGATCTGATGTGAGCTGCTTGATAATTGGGGGTGTCTACTATTACCCAACAGAGAAATAAGAAAACTGACCCTTGCCTAATTGTTCTGAAACCTCTTTGTTCCCTATGGCCCTGAAGTTAACACACACATTTTCATGACCTCTACTACTATTTTTTTCATGCCTACAAAAACAACAATAGGTAACTAAACTTGAAAAATAGCCTTGGCGGGGTATCCCTGGTGCTATTTTATCCAACTAAGGGGAGACAAATGAGGGGACATTCTGGGGATTGTTTAATGTAACACTCTCACTTCTGAATCACCATGATAAAGGATGCTGGGAATGGGAGTCAATCAGTAGGGGCCATGAGGCAGGCTATGGAATGCGGGTAGCAGAGGGATTGCAATAATATTATAGGAAATAGCTTGAGGCACCGGTGAGCACATGGCTCCTCTTGGAAAAGGAGCATCTTTGGGCCATTAGATTGAGAGAAGGCACCATAGGGGTGTATCGGTGGGGAGAGTCAGAGCAGGCAAAGATGGAGCTGGTCAGAGGCTCTGTGTGTCCCCACCTTCTTCAGTGCTCTGCACGGGAGGCCGGCGTCTGAACCTGGGTGAGTTTCTGTTGCAAGTGTCACCTGAGGGCTGAGCTTTATGACTTGGTCTGCAAGGGATGGGCGAGAGGCAGCAGCAGGAAGACAGAAATTTAAGAGCCAGGGATGTAAGTTCTACCCTGTCTCCTGGGCAGGGCAATATCCAGTGGGGGTCTGGGGCGCTCACCCACCCATGTGCAATGAAAGGCTCCAAGACAATATGTCATAGACCTCAGGGGACAGTGATGGTTTCAGCTTACATCTGGATTTTACACTGAAAGGTGGTTCAGGTTTAATGCTAGGATTAAAACTTGGATTAAATATCAGTGTTCTCGAGTCCTTTGGATTTAGCCCATAGCTCACTTAGTGGGTCACTTATTCCTTAGGCTGCAGGTGCATTTCAGAAATCCTTTAAATCTTTGGCACACAAAGTCACTGATTTGAATAAAAAATTATTTTAAAGGAATGAAAGAAATACTGTAAATATCAGCAATGCCACACTGAAGTCCTTAAGACAAATGTCTAGTTTTTAAAGTGAAATGATTGTCATTTAGTGTACCCTGATTAACATTTCACTTTGTTAAAATATCTCGATGAGTAATAAAGATAACTGTTTGACTCAAAAAATGTTTCTGTCCACCGCGGTAGCCATTGAGGGACAGCAGTCATGGCCCTCCGCTGCCCCATGGCCGTGGGCCTCAACAAAGGTCACCAAACGACAAAGACCATGAGCAAGCCGAGGCACAGCCGTGGCCGCGGGCGCTCCACCAAGCGCACCACGTTCAGGCGGGACGTGATCCAAGAGGTGTGTGGCTTTGCCCACTATGAATGGAGCACCATGGAGCTGCTCAAAGTCTCTAAGGGCAAGAGTGCCCTGAAATTCATCAAGAAAAGGGTGGGGACACACCTCTGTGCCAAGAGGCAGAGAAAGGAGCTGAGCAATGTCCTTGCAGCCATGAGAAAGGCAGCATCCAAGAAGGACTGAGCCCTATCCCCTCTGTAATAAAACCTGTTTAGAAAAAAAAAAGTTTCTAATTTTAAGTTAATTAAATAAAATTATTAAATATTATACAGTCTATTCTTATGTAATTATTGATCAGATAGCAACTACAGGAACTACAGCAGGTAAATTATTTTCTTAGGGGCATCTGTTCCTTCAACTGTAATGCCAATTATACTCTTAGGGATGAAAGAAATTTCAAAGAACTTATAAGAAAAGCAGAAAAGAGAAAATTGATTCCTACTATATTTAGAGAATGGGATTAGTAAAAAATATTCACAAACATGAGAAATGGTCAGTGATAAAATGAGACATAGAGTCTTGCTAAAATGATGAGCACAGAATGTGTAAGTGATCTTTTTTGCCTTTTGTTCAATACAATAAACATTACACTTTATTGCCTCGATTGGTATCATAGGCATAGCATTCAATACATCTGACCTCAATAAAATATGGAACATTTCTCCATTTCTGAAATGGATCTTTTCTATTGCTATATTAACATTTGGAAAAATCACTCCATATCACTGAGTCTTTCTGAAACCTATCAAAAATAGTGGGAACCATCTAAATAAAGATACTGTACTAACATAATGGAATTGCCTGCAATTCTGGTATGTTCACGGTCATTTCACTGAGCATTTCTCATGACTTTGCAGGTTTTCAGGAATGAGTGTGTGTTTCACAGGAGAGCAACCGAAAGGTGGCAGCATCTCTTTGAAAATTTATTTATATTTATTTCATGTGAATTGTTTTTTCAAATACCACTCACACATAGTTGAACCATGTTATAATAGGCATTTAAAGGTCAGAAAGCTCCCTTTCTTTGCAAATAAGAGGAATGGAGTGATAGGTTTGAGCTTTTTGCTTCCATGAAGAATGGAACTTGTCCTTCTCTTTAGCCAAATGGTCCATCATGTTTGATGATATAGAAGCAAACCTACTCATCCTTTAGAGTCAGAAAATACTCATAGAGTCACCTAATCATTAGCAATGATTAATTATCCCTGAAAATTTAGAATCTTGTTGTGAGGATATTATGAGAACTAATATATTCTTAAGAGCCACAAAGAGATCTTTTATTCCAGAGGGATGTGAATTGAATTAACAATCTTTTAAACTTAAATATTTTTAAGCATAAATTCCACCAAATTTTTATAAAAAACTCTTTAATCACTGTGATATTGGACACATCTTTAATATTACATGTTAAAATTGTTTTTAAAATATTTCAGACATTCATAAATGTAAATTATTTCAACTACCAATCTACATTTATCTGGGATTAACATGTTTGAGATTCTTAAACTTTTTCATAAACTATTTATAAACAAAATTAGCAAAGCCAAATTCAGATTTTTTCTTAAAATAATTGTTTCCTCTTCTGACAAAAAAAGAGCGTTACATAAAACCTCATTGACTCAGATAAAATAAAGTCTGAAGACTGGCATTCTCTTAAATGAAATTTCATTTCTGTTGAGCACTTGTAGTTAACCTAAATTGAGCTCAAAAGGGCAATACCTTGTGTCAATCTTGCTTTGATAAATAAATATGTAGGGGGGTGTGTGTGTGTGTGTATTCATATACAATTAGACAATTAGACAATTAGAATGTCAGCTCCATTAAAGTACCCATATGATACTTTTCTGTATTTGCATAGATGTATAGCTAGTGGAGATGCCATAAAAGATCACAATAAATTTTAATCTTAATGTGTCTCTTTGAGGAATTAAATGACAAGAATATATAGCTATAAGCAGCCTTAAAGATCAGAAGTTTCACATTTGTTTAAAGATCAGAGATTTTCACATGTTTTGATCTCAAATTTTTAGTGAAATCTTCCTCAGAAGTGCAGTCTATAACTCAGCCCAGATGGGTGGAGTTTTAAGTTGTTCGGTGGGTGCGCACCCTAGAATCTCACCCCTTCCTCTGAACCCCAGTCGCCCTGGAGACATGAAACCTTGGGATGCTGCCAACCCCATGCTAAAAGGCACTGATGTAGTTCAATACCTTAACCCTGTGTTTTTCAAATGGATAATCTAAATGAAGGATTCAAAGCCACGGAGGGCATTAAATCAAACCCAATAATTATATGAATAAGTGTATCAATAAAAATATGTACTTTCTTTTACTATGTGTTAGTTCATTTTTCCACAAAAACAAAACAAAACAAAAAAGACCATTGGTAGAAGAAAGAGAAAGTCTAGACATAGGGGTAAGTATTGATATATACACATACATACAGGTATCTGAAAATCAATTTGCAGAAATCATATATAGATAGACATATGTGCATATAGACATTTTCTGATATTTACACATACTTATAAATATCTGTGAGACACCCCCACGCTATTGAACAAGACTGTCCAGGCCCCAAGATACCAAGAAATGAAGAATGGACAGTCTCCTCTAAACAGAAGAATCCTAGACTACAAGCTAATGCATCACATGTTACAAACACTAGATTAGGGTTTAAACCTCTTGGAGTCTTGAAGACCTTTTCTGAGAAAAAGCAAGTAAAATACCTACCTTACATGGTGGCTGTGGGGAGCGTGTGAAATAACACTTGCAAGTGTGTTTTGCTAACATAGAGCGAAAGATACATGGATGTGTGCAAGATGATATTATGTGTTACAGAATTTGAGGTAAGTATCCAAGTGTTATACCCAGTTTCCATTTCACACATAAAGATATCTAACAGCTTATTTCATGATTCAAAGGTCATGATCATTTTTTGACAGCTGTCCTTGTTCTTTTGAAAATACTGTTGCTAAGCAAGTTCTCAGGCATGAACTAGCAGTGTTTTGGTGACAGCAGAGTGTCTAGAGAGAACCAAATGTTCAATGGTAATTAGAAAGAATTTGCCATGAGTGGTTGCTGAGTCACTGGATTCTGTGTAAATACATGACTTAAGACGACTTGGTATCTGCTTGGAAATCAGACTTGTCACTTTAGCATCTTTCCATTTTGGCATCAGCGACACCTTCACAGGTCCTCCATTCTCATGGGGAACCAAAATGAATGCAAAGAGGGGTTGTTACGTTATTGTTAAATGGTACTTTCAGTCTTTCCAAAGCATTCATACAGAAGTGGCACCGATTCTTCTTAGGATGCTCTGCAACTCTGTCCTAGGAGGCAGGGTGGGGTTAAGATTATGGACTCTGGAGCCAGACTGCCTGGGTTGGAATCTCAGCTCTGCTTCTTCCTACTTCTGGGAACCTGGATAAACTGTTCAACTCCTCTATGCTTTGGTTTGCTCATCCCTAAATAGGGGATGGTATTAATAATGTGCCTACCCACTGGTGTGGTTAAGAGCATTGATGGAGATTGTGTTTGGAAAACAGAGTAGTGCCTGGTGCCCTGTAAATACTATTTAACTGTTTACACTTACTGTGTAACAAGTGGTCCATCCCATCACCCACTCCAAAGTGGAGGCCTCACCCAAGAATCTAGACATGGCCATGCATCCCTGGAGAGGCAACACAGCGACAAGACAAGTGGGCCCCAGGGGGTGATCATGGTCATAATTGTACTGTAGAATTTAAAAAGCCTCAGGTCTTCTAAAAATTCACTCTCTACCTTTAAAAAAAACCCTGGAAATTAATAGTCACATTCATCTTTTTTTCTGATTTCTTCATAATGGCTACAGCCTCCATCATAAGCAGTCTTTCATGTGTTTACTTTAATGTGTCTTCTTTCACATATTTTATTTCAAGGAGGGAATTGACTAGAAATTATTCAACACTGGCGATTACCTTTAGTCATGCATCCCAATGTATTTATTAACATTTACGAAAGTAAGGTTGCAGATTACCTAAGCAATGAAAAAACAAAATGAAAACACAGTTGGTGTGTGTTCATATACACATACGTTTTATTTTGTTTCTTAAAGCCAACATTTGTTGTCAGGCATAAAAATTGGAATATAAAATTCAAAATGAAAAGACTTGAGATATATAAGTAATCTTCATTAAATGTTTCTGACACATTGGGGCTCTTTCAAATATTTTAGTTAGTGCCTAGGTCCTGTTTGCCCAAGAGAAGATATGTAATAAAGGTGCTTTTAATTTCCAAAGCGGTGGATGAATTGAAAATTATGGAGGCTAAATCTGTGTTTTTTAATGTTTATGTTTTATAAATAACACATAAAAGATAAAATTTACTGTATTTCTCAAAAGGTATTATCATTCTAATAGGTAAAAAATACAACTGTGAGCCATTTTTCCATTCTTTGTTAAAATCTGGCTTCAAAACTGCGTGTATCATTTTTTCATATGGAAATTTTTTAAATCTCATAGACTGGAGTTTTAAAAATTGTTGCAAGGTCTCTAGCAAAATAGCTAATGTTAACACTAAAGATGCAAAGGGAGACTGAGCAGAGGTTTGGGTTTTTCTTTTTTTCTTTCTTTTGAAGATTATTTCGTGTCAGGGGTGTTACGCACCTTCAGTGTGGGCTGCGGCTGACACTGGGCTGGCTGGGAAACATTTTTAGAATATGAATCTGATCCCTTACTAGAGTAGGCAGAGCCAGGAGGCATTGGAATAAACACTAAATCTGTAACAAAATTCGCAGAAACTGCTTTGTATGTAGTCACTAAATTGTTTCACACACAGCTGTGCCTGCAGATAATAAAAAGTGCTTTCCTAATAACAAACCTAGTTTTTACGAAAACTATAAATAAAATGAAAAACAAGTCAATGTGTATCAGGACACCTCAAAGAGAAGCGCAGAGAGTAAAATGTGACGTAGAAGTCAGGTGGACAGCTGCATGCCAATCGCTGACTGCATTATTGCTCGTTCACTTTGTTCTCCTCTATGTATTGTCCAGAATGCATCTCCCAACTCATTCTGTTCTCATTTCACTTGTAGGAAGTAGAACTGTGTGTTGGAAAGCTCCTTTTTTCACATGTTTATTTCTATTCAGTGATTTCCAAAGCACATTTATTGAGTTTACAAATGGAAAATGAGTTGTCAGTGTAAA